TGTAGTTGTGATGTACTACATCAGAAATAAACTTCAAATAATTTACAAAAAGGGGTTTGAATGGTTAAATGATATTTAACCCTTATAAGTAGAACAATATCAACATTCAATGAAATAATTGAAGCCATAAGAAATTGTAGAAAGCAACTTAGAAAGAAATAGAGCACATGTGACGTACTTTATAAGTGAACTGCATATTTATGTAACTTTTTCTTATTAATGTTTGTTTTACATTGTATGTTACTTATTAGGTATTGATAAGTTCAAAAAAATATTTATTAGTATTTTTTCCTTTTTTCAAGGAGACCTAGTGCATGTTTGCAGAGTTGAAATCATAATTTCAACAATTTAAATACTTTTTATCCAAATATTTTGTAGGACCACAACTACTACCCATATATTATCCATAAATTCCGCAGGGGACTCAACTTATTAAGTTATAATCATTTAAGTTTTAATTTAGGCACTCCCAAACATGGTCCTAATAAAATATGTTATTTCTTAAAGCATATGAAATAGCCATGTGTAAATCGTAATTTATAAAGTCACAGTATGTGAAGTAGGACCTATATACGAGGCGTGATTTTTATATTTTCCCAATTGTTGACGAATACCTGTAGGAATATGTTTAACAATCCTGCAATGGTAGTGTAAATTTTAATTTCCTAATACATGTATGTTAATTTTAATCGCACTCTATATACAAAAATGTGTTAATTAGCCATTGCAGAATAGGCACCATCTCTTTGCTTCCCAATTATGGTAGGCTCCACTGCTATAGGATAAAGAGAACAATCTAATATCTGTTTATCAAAAGATATAGTCCTTTACAAGGCATGCAACCCTAGGTCCGTTCGACAATGTATTAAGCCGATAAAAATATCTCAGAGATCTGCAAATTCCCATGTGCGAAAAATGGAAGTGTCAAATTTGTTTGCCCTGTCATGTATATTCACTCGTTCTACTTTATAGTCCAACGATAATTTTCTGTACGAAAATGATAATAACATTTTTCATCATAGAAATGAAGATGCAGAAGTGGAGTTGGATGATATTTGGTTTGCTTATCCATCCCGTCCAAATAATATGGTCCTGAAGGTATTTGATATTATCTCCACTTTCACCGGTGCTGGGAATACCGTCATTCCAAAAATGATGCTAAGTATTGTACTTCGTTGTGATTTTAGGGAATAACATTGAAACTACAGACTGGTTTTAAGGTTGCATTGGTGGGTCCAAGTGGTGGTGGAAAGGTATTTCTTTGTCATATTGAAGTTCCTTTGCAATCATAGTCCATTTTCATGTCACTGTAAGAAACATCAGATAGGTGAACTGATGTATGAGGCTAAAAGGAAAAGAAAACTATGGGTATGACCATTTTTATGTGCTGCAGACGACAATTGCGAACTTGATAGAGAGATTTTATGACCCGGTCAAAGGAAAGATATTGCTTAATAGAATTCCTCTGGTCGAAATATCTCATGATCATCTCCATAAAAAGGTAAATTTTGTGCTACAAGTGTTATATAGGTTACTAGCAATGTGAATTTCTTCCATGGTAATTTTTGGTACTACAGAAATTATATAGAAGTAAAGGGATACTTGCAACATGAATTTCTTGCATTTGCCGTTCCTTATTTCTTGACATAGAAGAGCATGATTGGCCAAGCTTGAGTAAAAAAAAAATTACTTATTTTGATATAACTCTTGCTTACTCTCAAAATGAGTTATTTATTTCTAACTCTAACCAATCAAAAAATTATTTACTTTAAAACTAGCTTATTTACATATAAGTTAACTCCTTAAGCTTGGCCAAACATGCTCTAGCGTGTTATTTCACTCAAGACAATGCTGTCGACACTATTTGATTCTACAACATTTTCAAATATCTTCAAAATGCAGATCAGTATAGTGAGCCAAGAACCTGTTCTTTTTAACTGCTCGATCGAAGAGAACATAGCCTATGGATTAGATGGTAAAGCAAGCAGCATTGATATAGAAAACGCTGCAGTAAGTTCTAAATTCTCTACTAGGACGTATAGTCATCTCTTCCATAAAATTTATGATTGCATTTGCATTGTATAACAACCAGAAAATGGCCAATGCCCACGAATTCATAGCCAAGTTTGCCGAGACTTATCAAACGCATGTCGGGGAACGTGGAGTGAGGCTTTCTGGAGGCCAAAAACAAAGAATAGCCATTGCTCGAGCTCTTCTAATGAATCCCAGAATCCTACTTTTAGACGAGGCAACTAGTGCCCTGGATGCCGAAAGTGAATATCTAGTTCAGGTGAGCAGCTTGGCTAAGCCTAGAAAGAAAAATTTTGCTTTTAAGCTTCTCTTTTGTCAAACGGAAGTTACTATTGTACTAACAAAGCTTACTTATCTAGAAAAGTAAACTAAGTTCGAACATGTCTAGTACAGTAACTTTTAGAGTCTGTTTGGTACAAATTCTCATTTTCTACCGTAAATCAATTCTCATTTTCAATCACACATTCTTCAATAAAATAATATTTGCCATCACATCAATATTTTTTCTTCTTTTTCAACCACACATTTCCTATCATATCACTATTCAAAAATCAATTCTTCTCCCAAAAATCTCTACCAAACACACTCTTAAACTTGAGTTTCTTAACTCGCGTGATGGTATTATTGTACCATGTAGGATGCCATGGATTCCCTAATGAAGGGTCGGACCGTGCTAGTCATAGCTCATAGGCTTTCAACTGTAAAGACTGCAGACACTGTTGCAGTGGTTTCTGATGGCCAGATAGTGGAAAGTGGCACTCACGATGACCTCCTCGGCAAGAATGGTATCTACACAGCATTAGTTAGGAGGCAACTACAAGGGCCAAAACACGAAATCTAGTCATGGGCTATAGTTAAGCTATAGCCGTAACAATGAACTTGAAAATAAATTCTGCACATGTTGATTTTATATATACTGTATGGGATTAGTTCTCAGTCTTTGATTTTATATATACTGGAAGGGATTAAATTCTGCACATTTTGATTTTATATATACTGAGGGCATTGATCGTTAGGCTAGTTACATTGGAGGACAGTTCCCAGAAAAGCGCACACAGAAAGAGATTGCAATTGTGAGAAAACATAAATTAGATCGAAATCAATAATTGATTCTCCATATCTTTCTGGCACATGATTCTTGTCCACGTTTTTGTTTTTAATTGTAATTATGTTTATTTTTAAAAGAAAATGGAAGTGGATTATAATTTTAATAGATATTTTCTCTCCTAGTCAAATTAGAGGAACTGTGGAGGTGAAGTACTTAAAAAATACATACCTTTTACTTTGGATATTTAGAACAAATAAAAATTATTTAGTATACTAGATTATAAATGCATTTTTACGCAATTATCCATACTTTCCTTGTTACTTAATTATATGTAAATTGAGTAGTTATCTACTTAATTTGTTTAAATTGTGTTAATTGTAGAAAAAAGTTTCAACTTGATTGGTGTGAAAATTGGCTATTTGTAACTTAATTGGGGTTGATTCGGAGCAATTGAAAATTAATTGAATTGAAATTGATTAAATGAAAGTATTAATGGAGCATTTGACAACAATTCCTAAGTTTCGGAAGTTAAATTTGATATTTGTAAAGTTTAAGGAATAATTGTCAAGTTTCGAAATTTTTATCTAGTCAATTATTAATAATTTTGGGGCGAACGAGATTTAATTACGAAGATTAGAAGATAAAGGATTAAATTGAATTAAAAAAAAGGTCTCCATTAAACAAAAGAATAATGATATGCAACATCAATGGTGTTAGAGCATCAATTTAGGTGGTTACATTTTATAAACTTAAGAGAAGTAAATTAATTAATTTAGAAGAATTCGACTTGCTTAAAATTGGTGATTGGAATTAAGAGGATAGTTACGATCAATTCGTGAATCATAACACTTAAACCATCATTAAAAAATTCATATATGCACTTGTTAATGGTTTTTGTATATTTAAAATAAAAAAAAAATCATAAAAAGAAGATAAACACATTTATTTATTTCCAACTGAATTGAAGATAAGGATAGTTGAATCAACAATTAAATTTTAGTCCTGGTGGAAATGATAATTCGGAATCTTAGGTCCATTTTATTATTTGTTACGATTTGTACACTCGCGAAATATAAAATTAACAAGTAAATTAGTATCGTCGTCAAAAACTATTTTTATTTCTATCTTTTATATGATTATTTCTATTTCTTTTTAAATTGATCTTGTTTTTCTTTATTTCATTTATAGGAACAATGATTGATCTCGACGTTGATGAAGATGTCTTTGCCATGCCACACTTATGAGTTTAACTTACCAATGAGATTATTTCTCCAACCGAGATGAGTCTGACTTTTGAATATTGTGGGGCTTTGCATTATATTAAAATTGCTTGTTATGAAGTGAAAATAAGATGATGACTTCGCCATGCTAAAATATAACATGCTTATGGAGGATCTTTTCGTCGTTCAACCTGAGGAATCAACATCTAAAGAAGAAAAATTAATTATGATGGAACCGAACGAATCAGTGGCATTCAAAGTTACATGAAATTACTAAAATTGAAATATTGCAATAGAACTTCACTGGATCGTCTCAACGAGTTTATAATTACACCTCTGTTGTTTCCTCTTGTATTTCTCATGAATAAGGATCTGAAGGTCGTCATTTCCATTGTTCTGTTGTTCCTCTTTTATTTTCTTTGCTGAAGTTACAAGTGAACGATTACAGTAATGCAACTCGATCGTTTGAAGAGTTAGAATATCTCCAATTTCACTAGGGATCTCCTCCAAACTATGGCAGTTCTTAATGACTAGGTTCTGAAGTCTCGGGAAGTGGACACTGTCAGCTCTCCAATGCTGAAGACGAACATTTTCAAGTAACAGATATTTCAGTTGAAGAAATTCTCCTTCATTTGGTTCCCACTCTGGTCGAACATAGAAGGCAAAATTTCTGAGTTTGAGCACTTCAATAGGCAACGAACCAATAATCGTCAAATCTTCCCAAGGAATGCAGCTGCCATCTAAAGTTAATTTTTTAAGCGAAGACGGGAAAATGATGTTATGCAAGAAAGATTGTGTTGACGTGAGAAATAAGAACTTCAAAGATTCAAGTTGATGTAGATGGACGAGATTCTTGAGATAGAGGTATTCCGAACCCATTGGTAAATTTTCCAGATAGATTCCCAATTTCTTGAGATTGGGAATCCTTTTCAAGATCTCCTCTGTACATCTGAAATTTAATACAGTGGAGAGCGTTTGCAAGTTTTCCAGAGCTATAACAGAATTTTCTGCTTCAATTTCTTCACTAGAAGGATCAGGAAGAATCATTTCCCCCAACTGGAGATGCCTCAACTGTGTCATCGTCCATATTTCGGGCGTAAGAAATACTGGAACTGTGGCGTCGTAAAGAATTAAGGTTTGTAGATATCGGAGTTTGTATACTGATGCAGGAAGCCTCCCATTATTGCAGCTGTAAGCGAGGTACTGTAAGTTAACTACTTCTGCCATTTCAGTTGGAAAATGAGTTATATACCCTGCATCCAACACTCTGACTAGCATACCAGTTAACAACTTTACGGGAACATACCTACCAAAATTTAAAAGAGATCGCAAAAGAAATTTCGGAAGTTTGTTGGTAGGATGATCTACATCTCTTCGTAAAATTAAACGGCGCAGGCTAATGCCAATGGGAATACCCTGGAGATTGCTGTCAATGACATGAAAAAACTTCTCCCTTTGAGCTTCTCTCACACATAGGTCACGTAACAGATCGTGGATCATGCACGTTTTGATTTTACCTTTGGAACTCCTTTCAGAAACCAAAATAAGATTCCTATCAACAAGATCGAACAAGTTTTCCTCAGCCATATCTTCCAAAGTTTTCTGTTCCCCTGCTTCTATAAATCCTTCGGCAACCCATAACTTTAAAAGTGCAGAGACATTGATATCCGAGTCTTCTTGAAAGATTCCAAAATAGAGGAAACATCCTTTCAAATGATGAGGCAAATTCTTATAACTTAAGGATAGTATCTTTGAGCATTGCTGATCATCATTTGAAGCTATCACCGAACTCAGATTTTCTCCAACATTTGTCCAGTGACGTACTGTTCTCGTGGCCTTTGAGAGAAGTCCTGCAATCACAACAATTGCAAGTGGAAGTCCTCGACAATTTTGGACTATCTTCTTTCCGATTTGTTTGAGTTCAGGAGGGCAACGATCTTTTCCAAAAACATTGGCACAAAATAAACTCCAGCTTTCCTCCTCATTCAGAAAACGCATCTGATGAGGAGGAGAACAAGGGTTTGCATTACGAGCCACATTTTCTAGTCTAGTTGTCATCATGATTCGACTCCCATTCCTTTCATTTTGAAACAGTCGCCTCACATGATCCCAAACATTGGTGTCCCAGACGTCATCCATCACAATGAGATACCTTCTACCCTTTAGTTTCTTGTACAAAACTTCTTCTAATTTTTCAGTGCTCTTTTCACGTTTCTTGTACAAAACTTCTAATTTTTCAGTGCTCTTTTCACGATCCTGGATAGTGAGTATTTCCATGGAATCTAGAAGGCTTAGAAAGATTTCTCGCATATTATAGCCTTGAGATACTGTCACCCAAGCACGAATGTGAAAATGATACAAAATAACTTCATCATCATAAACCTTTTTGGCAAGAGTCGTTTTACCTATTCCACCCATCCCCACGATGGAAAGAGTTTTAAGATTTGATGATCCCCCGGTGAGCTGATCCTTGATCACCATCATGTTATCATCAAGACCCACCATATTACTCTTGCCACTGGAAGCATGTTTCGATGAAGCAACAAACGACGAAGTCCTTGGATGCAGATCTTGTACATCCGTCTCGTCCACAATATTGTCTACCATTTTCTTGATGGTATCAATTTCTTTTGTTACTTTCTCTAGTTCATCCTGGAATAAGGTTGCTTTAAGGATGCTCAGACTAAAGAAATTCTTTTCCATTCGATCCTTAGATTCTTCAACAACTCGATGCCCGATGTGGGATTCAATGATATCCTCTACTTTATATGCTGCATCCGTGATTTGACTCTCTAAACTTTCTATTGCTTTGCTGGTTTTTTGTGAAGAATTATCAAGAAAATCTTGTAAGAAACGCACCTTTTCTAGGAGAAATGAGATTTTTTGTTTCTCATCATGAATCAGATATTGATTATCATGATTCAGCGTCTTCTCAAGAATGTGTCTAAGAGAAAGAAGAGCAGCATAAGCCATATCAGTTCTCTCCTCTCCTCTGCTCAAGAAGGAAGGCTTCTCAATTGCTGTGAGAAATTATCCAGGCAGGCGGCTAATAACGTTGACTTCAACATAAACCTGAAAGTAAAGTTCCACTTGAAGAAAGTAGGTGAGAATACAGGCCGGCTAAAAAAATCAGAGATGTGAGAACACTTTCTGGGAAATTCATAAAAATAGCCTAAAATTGAAGCCATAATTCAAAAATGGCCTTTGATCATGTTTAAGTTTTAAAATTCCTAAAATACCCTCAAGATAAAAAAAATTGTCTAACAAGTCATTTTAAGATATAATGGATTTCATTTTAGTCCCTAAGTTTTTAATCTTATATAAATTTGACAAATTGCTTCCCCTTTGGAATTAAAGATTTAACTTTTTTTCACAATTAATTCTTTCCACCTATTAAATCCAAGAATTTGAAGATTTTGTTTACCATTGAAATTGTATTTTTGTTTTATTGAAAACCTCCATACAAAATGGTATCAGGGCTCTATATTAAAAATCCCGAGGAGTTATAGCCATAGAGATCATGAAAATTGAAAATTCTAACGATTTAGAAATTGAAGTATATGAAGGAGTAGA